CAAGAGAGATAGCTGCTAAGTGACAAAAGGGCAGGTAGCATATAGAGTGTGGACACGCGGAACCCAGGGACAAGTGCCATCCTGCATAAGGCAAGGGTTGGATGGCACGAGTTTTCATCATGCTACTTAGAAGGCACACAATTTAAAACAGTGAAATTATTAACTTTTCCCATTTAGTATTTTGAGAGCGTGGTTGACCACAGGTAATGGATGCCACAGAAAGCAAAAGTACTAATAAGACTGCCTACTACGACACATTACTCTTCCATCCTTCCACTCATATATCTGTGTCACATATTGTTTGGTGGAGGTTTAATGAGGACTTCATGCCAGATCTAGTTTTGTGCTACAGTTATGGCAGTAATTATGGCAGTATGACCCAGCACTACTGTTGAAAGAGGTGTGGTAAGGAAAAGAATTAGCAAGGCTCATCAGGGGCCAGGCTCTGATGTGGCTTATGTCACTGTCTAAAAAGTTGCAGCGATACTGCAGAACCTTTAAAGGGTTTGCATTGTTAGCTTGTGATCAAATCTGACCTGGTTTGGACGTGGATCTGTGCTGGAAACAGGGAGACAACGTGGCTGCTGCAGTCTCCTGTGTGAGAAATAATGAGAAGAGCAGCAAGGAAAGTGGCCTGGTTGTATTTTGGTGATGTTTCAGAGGCAGGATTGATAGAGCTTGGGGATCAGTTCGATGCTGCGCATAAGAGGGCAGAATCCAAGATGACTGTGCTCCAAGATGACTCCAAGAACAGATGACTCTAAGCTCAGTGCCTGGCACACAGTGGATAAGAAACAATTGTCTTGAATTGAATTGTGTGGCAAGAAAACAATGGAGCAGATCATCGCTGGGAGGAAAGGATGATGCCAATGAATATGAATAGTGGAGGAAAATAAATAGAAGAATAAGTGTGTGTGCGCATGTGTGTGTGAGCACACTGGAAAAGGAGGTATGAAACGTGTGCCCTGACCCCCAGCATGATTTTTACTGCTCAACTTATGCTTTTGCTCTTTCAGCTAGAATTACATCCAGAGAGTGAATTTAGGAAGCTGTACAACCACCTTGCTGCTGCCAGATTTCTCGCAGTGACAAGCTTACCAACTGTTTTGATCTGACATGGTTTTGAGCAGGGGGGGAGGAGAAGTGTCATAGGGTGATTTTCAGAGTATTTGCTGTGTCACTCTGGAACGAGGGCAATGCCCCTGTTTTCTCCCCCACTCCTCAGCCATAGCTGTGGGGAGCCTGGCATCAAGGCCCAGGAGTGGGACATGCGTTGGTATCAGGGGTTTGTCTACCCCACCCTTCCCCAAAACACACAGTAGTGAATGTTTCCTTTAATGAGCATTTGTGACCTCTGCTCTTCAAACTGCCATCCTGGTTCTACCACACTGATGGAGGAATACTCAGATGATCTAGAAAAGTCCTGAAGCCATTGTTTCCCATCAACCTTGCTTTGCTACAGCCTGACAGCAGTCCCAGCTCAACAGACCACCTCCATGGGCAGCTTTTTGCTTGGATTAGCTTTGCAGAGAACCCTGGTCTAATGGCTATTTGTTGTGATTTTGTAGACAGAGGAGAGGGGAGGCATCTCGTGGCCTTGTGAGTGTTGAGAGAGGCAGAAGTTTCCATAAGCTTATTTGTCTCCAGAGCCCTGTAAACTGCATGGCACAGCAGTGCCGGTACCGGACTTTAGAATGCATTGCCCTATTGCAGGAGAGGGGTCCGAGCTGCGCTGACACACCCGGCATATTCGGCAGGGGCCAGACAGAGATGCATAACCATCAGCCACCTTCAAAGTCTCCAGTGAGCACCAGTCAGCACCAGGAACACACTGCCATGGTGTCAGACTCATCTTTTTGTCCTGACACTTTTAGTTTTGGTTTGAACTCAGCTCTGCTGACAAGCCATGGCAAGGCTACATCAGAACCATTTCTCTCATCAGCAAATATCCCATCGCAGTGGTCCTTGATTATTGTTTGACCAGTTTCGTGGAAGACAATTTTTCCATGAATGGGGGGGGTGTTTAATTTATCATCATCATCATCATCATCATCATCATCATCATATGTTAGTGGCATCATCAGGCATTGCATTGTTACTCAGTTATGGACCTGTGAAGCCAGATGAACTGTGTGTTTCCATGATATAATGCGGGACAAGCATAGAAGAGACATTCTCCTTCTGAAAGGAAGAAATCAGAAAGAAGAAAGAGCTGGTGGACCCTAAGGAAGTCCACAGTGCAGCAAAGCAGTCTATTAGAGCTAAAGACCCAAAAATAATCTTCCTGGCACTGATGCTCTGCCCCTCAGGCCCACCTGGGCAGCAGCATCACCCAACACAACTGTGGATTGGCCCTCCCTTTTGGCTCCACAGTGCACCCCACTCCCAGAGCACTGGACCAAGCCCTTGACCCTGAGCCACATGGCAGGAGCCTCTAGTCCTGCAAAACCAGAGGGGCCCATGGGCCTTGTTGGGAGTCACAGCCTTCATAATCTCTGAGTTGCTGTTAGTCATTTCCCCTTTTTCTTAGAAAACAAGCCATATTCATGTCCAAATAGCAGCATTATGAGATCCTACTTGTCCCAGATGTTCATTAGCCTTTCACTCCATCCCATAGTTTCTGTCCTCTCATCCTCTTCAGTCTTTTAATCACCACAGATAGTACTTCTTACCTCTGCTCCTGGTTACTGCTGTGGTAGTCTATGGTATAGATGTTGTTTGTCCCCCAAAGTTGAGGTGACGTGGGAGGTGATGAGACTTTTAAGAGGTGAGGTATGTTAAGCTCGGTGTGATGGCATACACTTGTAATCCCAGCACTGAGGAGGCTGAGGCAGGAGGATTGCAAGTTCAAGCTGAACCAGGTTTAAATGGCGAGTTCAAGTTCAGCTTGGACTACACAGCAAGACTTTATCTCAAAAGCAAAATGAAAAAAGAGGAGAAATATAGAGGAAGTTCCTTAGATCAACAGGGGCCATGACCTCAGAAGTGAGGGGGCCTGGTTAGCTGGCTAGTCCTCTTGAGAGGATTGTCAGGAGAGCCTGTGCCCAGCACCACCCCATCTCTCTGGCTTTCTGTGTTGTAATGGGGCCTCTCCCTCTCCCCAACATCCCCAACATCATCACCTGCCATGAGGTGATGCAGCCAAGGGGCTCCTCACCTGAGCCTGTGCCTTCCTCTTTGGACTTGCAGCCCCCAGAAGTGTGAGCTAAACAAACCTCTTTTTCTGTAGCATTAGCCTGCCGCAGGCATTTCAGTATAATGTGGAAAAATGGACCACTACAGGGGGCTGATGAAACTCGTAAATTTGAGGTTCACATTCATACTACGCTCTTATCAAATGATTGTTCAGCCACACATTTACTACTCCCCTTAGAACAAGTCCTCTCCCCACTCATTTGGCAACATGAAGAGTCTGAGAAGTTTTTCAAATCTTCCAATTCTGGGTTGGTGTTGCTTAACAATTCTTTCAATTTATCTTTCTCCTTTCACATTTTACTACAAGCAGTAAAGAGAAATCAGGCCAATCCTTCAACACTTTGCTTAGAAATATTCTCAGCTAAATGTCCAATGTTACTGCTGGCAATTTCTGTCCTCCATAAAGCGCTGGAACACAATCCAGGCACGTTCTCCGCCAGTGTATAACAAAGATCACCTTTCTTTCAGTCCAGTAACATGCTCTTTGCGTCCATCTCTGCTCATCACCAGAACCACCTTTAGCATGGATTTCTCTACTAACAGCCCTGCCAGGACAATCTAGATTTTTTCTAGCATTACTTCAAAGTCTTCCTATCTCTGTCTCACACCCACTTCCAAAGCCATTTCCATATTTTTAGGTATTTGTTATAGTTTCAAACCATTCCTGACATCAAATTCATTTCTTCGGGCTGCCATGGCATGGCACCATAGTCTAGATGTCTGTAGCAGTAGTTCGGGAGGCTCGGGGTCCCCAGTCAAAGGTCTATTGGGGTTGGTTTCTCAGGAGGGCTGTCTTCTTCACATGGCAGAAATAGGGAGGGAGGAGATGGGACAGAGAGATTTTAGATCTCTTCTTACAAGGACACTGATATTTTTAGATCAGGGCTGCACCCTATGGCCTCATTTAAGCAGAATCGCTTCCTCAGTGGCCCCATCTCTACATATACTTATCCTGAGGGGTAAGCCTTAACATACAAATCTAGAAGGAGATACACAAAGTCCCCGATGTCATGGAAAATTATTCTGATGATTTGTTTGCTCTTTTGGGCCCTAGGGGTTGGGCAGAAATGGAGCAGCCCAAAGGAAAATCTAATGCATGGAGCAGAAGTTGGAAATCAGAAACTGAATCTACTTCTGAATTCTTTTGGACTATTTTACTATACATCTGTTAGTTTCTTCAGATATTGAACGAGACTCTATCAATCATGCCTTTCTTCTATGATTAATGAAGAGTTTGAGGATTTGAAGGGAATATGGAAAAGGGCTCAGGCACCATATAAATCCAAGTCAGTTACAGCCCCTTGGGTTAAAAATTCCAGGGGGTTCATTCACACTGGCCCCACTTATGTGTGCCAGTGCCCAGTAATTCTCCCTCTTCCCCAGTTAGGTTTCCAGATCATTATGCTGGGAGAAGTGAGAACTTCCCTTGAGGAAACACAGAAACACTACTCTCCACTCCCGCCCCAACCGCAGACTCAGGGAATCTCAGAGAATCTCTGCAAGGGACATAAAAGTCATTTAGTGCAGCTGGCAGTATATTCCCTCGATAAGCAGACAAGTGGGAATATAAAATAAAAGTGCAGTTAATTCTCCATTATTTGGATGTAGATTCCTCACAGACACAGTGAAAGATATGTGCGTTTGGAGGTGGCGATTAGGTCTCTTTTTATCTTTTCCTTCTCCGAGCTAAATAGTTACAAATCATTCCGGCGCTCCTTAGAGGACTGATTGCAAACTTTTGAAATCACATACATTGAAGGCACCTTCGTCTAACTATGTGGATGCTGGCTTCCTTTTCATTCCAGAAACTTTGGGCCATTCCCCATTCAGGAAGGACTGACTGCATCTGAAATAGGATGACAGAGGAATTACTCTCACTGATATTACCCTTCAGCTACATCCCAGCACCGAGAGACTCTGCTAACTGCTATTGCCATAATGACTAGCAATCACGGTACAATCACTGAAATGAATTAAATTATTAATTTCAATAGCACCCCATGGTGCATTTATAAATTCCACCATCTGGGGAACATAAATATGGAGGTCCACATTCTAAACTTGGAGGCGTGGTGCTGAGCGCCAAGGGCTGCATCTTTGAAGGCAGTAAAGATTTTTCAAGATACTATATGTGGAGCAGCAAGCTGTGCATTTCAGAGAAGGCTCTGTCCCTGGATCTCCATGAGCATTACCATTTATTTAAGGCTCCCATCTCCCTCATTTTTAACCAGTTCTTATTGATAGAACCAATGTACAAAAAAAAAATCTTTGTTTAGGAAGGATACAGGATGGGAAATAAAATACAACTCTGAGCAGAACTACTTTGTCACTGGCTCCCTTTCCTCTTCGTTGAATTTCCTTTCATCCCCTCCCAAAGTCCCTCCTCTTATTGAGTAGCCTCAAATATGCAAATCTCTGTGTTAATAAGTATGTGAAACTGAGACAGCTATTCTTGGGTTTTGAGTGTTTTCAAAATCTGTCTAAAACTCCAAGATAATTGTTCCTAAACCAGAGGGGATGCAGGGACTAAGGGGGAATGACTTACTCCTATGAAAGAGATTTAGCTCTCCATCCTATGTGGAACCATTTGGCCAGATGTTGGGGTTCAGTCTGCCTTCTCTGTTTGCCATCTGTGACATCCCCAAGGACTGGCACGAGAGGGGTACTTCTAAAGAGCATATGTAAATGACTTCCCCGGAGCCCTGCAGAGCACGGAAGGCCAGCTTCTTCTGCGTGTGGATTGCCAACTCAGAGCCACGTGACAGCCCAGCCCTGGGTGGGCAGCTACACCTCCTATCCACAGCAGCTAGACTGTGAATGCAAGTGCTCACTGGCAATACACAGGAGAAGTGCAGAGCTTTCTGCAGGACAAATAATTCTAGAACCCGGGCATGGGTATGTAGCTCTTGATCTTGTTCTGTGTTGCCAGGACTTTGGTGCAATTTCGTGTTTTTGAGCTGGGGATGATTATTTGTCTTAGTTAGCTTTCCTCTCTCTGGAACAAAATACCTGACACCCACAGTTTAAAGGAAGAGAGGTTTAGGTTGGCTCATGGTTTTGGGGGATTCAGTCCCTGTTCAGCTGGCTCCAAGGGAGAAATTTCATGGAGGAATGATGTTGCAGAGGAAAGCTGCTCACATCATGGCAGCCAGGAAGCAGAGAGAGAGAAGGGGGAAGTTAGGGGTGAGCACATGTCCTTCCAGGTCATTCCCCTAAGTGACCCACCTCCAAACAGCACATGTAGCCAGGAACACATCAATGGATCGATCCACTGAAGGATATACCACCCCCATGATCCAAACACCTTCCCCAAAACCCATCTCCGAACACATGAGACTTTTGGGGTTCAGTCTAGATGTAAATCATAACATTACTGAGCTGCAGAATTGCTCCTCTCAGGGCCTTTACATGTGCACATTGAATTGGATACAGTTAAGTTGACCCAGTAATTTCATGTAGGCTCTAAGCCAATGGATCTGCAGCTGAGACTGGGGGAACACCTCCCTCTCCTCAACACCTCCACCCCACCCCTTGCCACTACTAGCTGCTGCTGGTCATTGGCCATTCAATGACAGATAGCTCAGGTTTGTGAGGTTATTGGAAAGTATTTGGGGGTAGGATGTTTCCAGCAACTCTCATTCAGGTGTAGTCCCAGTGGAGACAAACGTCAGAGTAGCTTGAGATATGGTGTTCTGGAACTTTGGGAATGGGTAGTCTGATTAGAATTTCACTTCTTCCCTGATTCAGATGCCATTCTTGTAACTTAACCAGATTAACTTGTTATTAATTGTGTTAGGAGAAGAGAATAAATAGAACCTGCAAACACAGTGCATTTAAATGAAACTTCTGATCTTCATGGCAAAGTCCTTGCCTACAGCTTCCCTTTCCCTCCCAGGCTCAGAAACACAAGTGTACACGGAATTTGAGGAGCTGGCCCTCTCGGGACTCCCTTGTCCTGAGCTTATTAATGACAATGAAGGACCCAAAAATCAGTGATTTATGGAATTTAGCCACGGTTCTCCCCAGCCTCTCAGGGAGTTAGTAGACTGGAATAATTACAGACTAAATAGTGATGATAAGGAGGAAATGTACTGTAGTTGGAGTTAGTGGGCTGAGAAAACAAATGTTGCCGGTCTCAGGAGAATCTGTTTGCTGTTACAAAGGAGACGACTAGAAGCCGAGAGACCTTGCTCTGATCTACAGAGCTCAGCAGCAGGGAAAGACTGTAAAGTTATCACAGAAAACACGAGTTGACAAACACAAGACCCTTCCACATCCTGCTCTCTGCTCAGCCACCCATTGGCCACCAGCAGACAAAGATTTCCATGCTGTTGTTGGGGAATCAGTGTGACTATGCTTCAGAGCTCAGATTTGCTTCTCACACAAAGGCAGGAGAAAACTTCTCTTACACAAAAGAATAGAGAAACTTCCGGTTTGGAAGCAAGCTGGGGTTGTTCAATGTGAGCCAGTCAAACAGCAGCTCTTAGTAACTGTGGGGCTTCTTTTCAGAGCCTGCTTAGGGCTTGCCCTAAATGACTAGCAGTGCTGCATTTGTAAGCTGAATCCCTCTGAGGCCCAGGTCAAGGCTGGCCCAAGGCCACTGCAGAAGGCCCAGGTACACAGGAGCCCACCCGGTAAGCATGGCTTCCTGCCGGAGACAATGCCTCTCTCTCACGTCTCCTTGAATCGCTCTACCTGGGTAGATAACATTGTGTGACACTGCCCTGCAGCAAATAAAGGGAAAGAAGAGAACTGGCATTTCTTCTTGAGATGAAAACATACGGTGTCACTAAGGGGAGTGGGGGGAAGAATGCCTGGGAAGATGCTAAACTGTGCTGGTTATGCCTTCAAGGACAAGTAGAATAACAGAGAAGATGTTTTCTCACTTCTTGGGCAATATCTAAACAGCCTTCACCCCGGGAAGGGAGAATGCTTGTCTGAGTCTAGCATGCCGGTTCTGAATCATCTCAGCATTTCCATTTAAAAGTAACTGCATACTCAGGCAACCCCTTTTCAGGTAAATTTTTCTTTAGAATAGCGTTGGATGGCCAATTTAATTGATTCCCAGGACTACAGTTTAGAGAAACAATAAAGCTCTAAGGAGAATCATGGAAGGAAATCTATGTAAAATCTAAAGAATTCACCATCCGATCTGTTGTAGTATGGCCACAGGAAGGTATGCACAAATTGGCAGACATCACAATAAGATCTTCAGAGGACTCACTTGGCTTTTCATACCTTTTCTTTCCCTAAATTCTCCATGAGGGAGGCAGCCTCAGACCTTGCTTGATCAGGGAAGCTTTCTGAAGAGGTCTGCAAGAGACTGGTTTCTGCAAGAAGGATTTTGGTGGCACCAGAACCCATAGCAACTGGATCTGCTGTGATACAGCTGTGAGGCATTCTGCTCTTCTCCACCCAGGTGTACTTGGTGGGACTCCCCTGAAGGAGAAGGGCTCCAGATGTCATCACCTTCAGGGCTACCTCTAAGACTCCCAGGAAATTAAATGCTACAGTCTTCCGGGAGCCTCCCGAAGCAGAGACAGAGGGATCTGTGCCATTTTCAAGCCAGTACAGCTCCCTAGCTTCCAAGGTTTTGAGCTCATCAGCCTAAGTACCTCCATGGTGAGTCCCAAGACCTCAGGTCTTCCAGTGAGGGCTCTTGGTGTAGAAGATGTGCTAGGATTGAGAAATCGCCCCTAGAACTCTACTACCCTTCTACTCCACCTCCGTTCATGAACTTAGTAAGTTTTATGATTTTGAGAAAGATGGCCACATTTGTGCCTGGGTGGGGAAGATGGCTGCAAGTGTGTCTGTCACCTGATGTGGAGTTTGTGAACGGAAACAAAATTTCATTGAACGCTTTTGTTTGAGAATTGGTTTGTGAACAGTGTCCGTGAACTGAGGTCTTACTGTAATTGCACCTAGAGCCTGATTCTTAGCTTTCTCTGCCCTTTGACTAGAAGGGTCAAGTCTATATGAATCCAAGTTGGCCATTTAGCTTCACATTTACCTTATGCTGGTGATTAATTAACCTCAGCTTTGCATCGTCTTTCTTCGGTGAATCAGTGCTACTGTAACAGGGACCATCTGATTTCATTATCCTTATAGTTATTACTTTCCTACACCTCTCAAACACTGAGAGCTTATACCTCTATTTCATCCCTTCCCAATTCACCACCAGTGAGAATTTTTGTTTTGTTTTGTTTTTTTCCTGGTACCAGGGATCAAACTCTGGACCTTGCACTTGCAGGGCAGGCGTGGTACCACTCAGCTACATCCCTGGCCCCAGTGAGAATTTTAATAACTGTCCCACTAGAGCATTTCAGGGGCTATCAGAACTGCACCCAACAACTCGGGTGGTTGCCAGCTGGCCAGTAAATGACCCACCTGCTTCTAACTCTCTTTTAGGGTCTCAGTTCTTAGACCACTTCTGGCATGAATCCCCTTTAGTCATGTTCCTGAGAGAATCTGGTGAGATAAAGATTTGCATTCAGGTAGTTTATTAGAAATTGCTTTGGGCACCGATGTCTGAAAAGGAAGGAAGAGGCATCCGAGCAGAAGCACCTGGCTGTGATGCCGTCGTGACAGAGGCCTTGGGCGGCCTCATGAGATGCTCTGGAGAAAGGCATGGACCGTGACAGTTATTCCAGACTGTGATGTGGGCTCATACTCCCACATCAACCAGCCATTGGACACAGCTGCCCCGGGGATGGGAATAACCTTGAGTAGGAGGCACACTTCAGCTTAGGGTGAATCGCAAAGGGAACTGTTGATAACCACACCCTGGCAGAGGGACACGGTGCCATGGTGGCAGTGCTCGCCAGGTGGGTTCTCAGCTCCACCTTAGCAGAGCTGCACTGGCTCTTCTTGCCTTAGCTGACTTCTGACTTCCCTGACATAAGCTACTTGCCGGCCTGCTGTCTAACGAGCTGAGTCCGGATTGTGTTCATATCCATAAACATGTACATATGTATACATTTTGGGTAAATCAAGCTGAATTTAGGCAAATTTCAAGGACACCAAAACTGTATTTGCAGAAAGAAAAAAAAGAGAGATCAAGATGGTTCCTTAGGCCTCGTGCGCCATTCTAGAGGACGATGCTGCAGCATGGACCCTGACCAGAGGTCCCTCCATGTGCTGCTGTGATCCTGGGAAGGCCTGAGAGAGAGAGGACAGCGGGGAGCTGTGGGAAAGTGGAGGGGGGCGCAAGCAGCTTATTTGGCCCTAGATATGAAATACACCACCAAGGTGAGCCCTGGGGGAACACTTCCACTTTGGTTTCCAGGGGTGAGGACACAGAAATAAAGAATC